GGGCCTGCCAATTCTCATGGCAGACCCAGTGGGTATGGTCCTCCCAACCCAAAGGTGATGTCCGAGCAATTAGAACCTGGCCATCCACCTGATTCTTGCGGACCTTACAAAGTTCTTTTGAAGCAGCATGATGGTTGGGATAGAAGAAATGAGGAGCAAAGGAATGAGGGTACTGTCACAAGACTTTCAACTGATGCATCATCTCTTGTGAGGGAGGACGAACCAAGAACTTTGGCAGCAGAGAATGATTGGAGATCCGACCACAGAAAGGAGGGAGTGAGGGATCAAAGGAAAATTGTCAGTGAAGAAGCTGCTTCAAGGAAGTTTGACAACCAAGGAGCCTCTTCTGTTCCTAAGAAAGTGAAGTCTACTGAAAGTTTGGAACAAATAAACACAGTTGATGTCATTTCAGTGAAGAAATCAGGAACTGAAGCCTCTGGCATGCCAGAAGTTGCACAACCGCTCCAGGCTGCTGCGAAAGACTCCAGTCTGATTCAGAAAATAGAGGGATTAAATGCAAAGGCACGCGTTTCTGATGGACGAAGTGATACATCATCTGTGTCCAGTAGAGAGGAGCAGAAGAACAGATTCGAAGTCAATGCTAAAGCTAACATTTCAGTTAATGAACCTGTTAGTGGTGGTAGTGTAAATCTGGAAAGATCTCGTGTCCCTGAGAGCGTAAATCCTTCTCATGAAGTGGGCAGCGCAATTTCCATCTCCAGGTTTCTTGGCAACTTTTTAGTTTTCTCTGAGAATGTACATGTTATTCGAAATTACTGGAACGTGCTGATTTTCTGATGTACAGGCGACCCAATCATGCCATGCATGGTGGTAGATCAGATCATCATGGTAGAGGAAGGTTCAATAATCAAGAAGGTGAAGGGTGGTCAAAGAAATCCTTGGTTGAACCGACAACTGTGGTATCAACTGCACATTTGGAAATGCCTTCTAATGTTCATGTGCATGACCACCTTGTTTCAACGGAAGCAACTGAAAAGTCAGGGTCTTATCCACAAGGCAGACGTGAGGGGGAATCTGCCACACCAGTGGTTGATCCAAATGATTCTGAGGCACAGGTATACATTTTATTCATATTCTTGTTAGATTTTGTGTCAGAACTTTGCAGCTAACATCTCTTCTTACCAGCGTGCTAAGATGAGGGAATTAGCCAAGCAACGTACCAAACAGTTACAGGAGGAAGAGGAGGAACGGACAAGAAGGCAGATGGCCAAGGCTCGTGCAAAATTGGAAGAGTTGAATAGACGTACTCAGGTGGAGAGTTCAGATCAGAAGATTGAAAGTCACGCAAGTGGTGCCATCCAGATTAAGCAAGAAGTGTCTCAAACCTCGGGTGAACCACTAATTGGTGGCAGGAAATCAGCTTTAGGATTTAATCTGGATGGTTCTTCACTGATTAGCGAGGGTAACACTGGAAAAGCTGAAAAGTCAACTGTTCCATCAAGTGAGCTCCCTTCAGATACGCTAAAGAGTGTCTGCAAGGAACCTGTTCTGATGCATGATGAATCTGTACCCAAGCCGAAGGAGGTTATTGTTGCTAATGTCGTTCATCACAACAATGCTCCCCAGGCTCATGAAAGCAATACCACTAGGGTGAAGCAGGCCACTAAACAAAGGCATAACAATCAGTTAGAAAAGAAGCCTACTGGAAAGTTTACTTCCACCAGCACAGCTGATGCAACAAATTGTCAGACAGAGCCCATGGTTAATGTTCCCACATCGCTTGGAGTTGTACCAAATGAAACAGCCTCGAGCAGTGGGTCAAGCCTGACTGCTAATCCCAGTGCCATACTTGAGTCATCTTCTCATCTGAGAAAGAAAAACAACAGAATTGGCAAGAATAAGCACAAAACAGAGAGTACATCGACAGCTGCTGCTCTGACATCATCTACCTCAAAAGAAACAAATATTGCAAATGCCAATGTTGAAAGTGGAATGCCAAAGGTATCTGAGTTGGAGTTCGATCCTGCCTCAGTTCAGTCCCAGACCGTTCTTAGAGATGCATACCAGTCTTCTGAGCAACATTTGTCTCTATCTAATGAAGAATCTCAAGGTATAGGAAATAGCCAGTGGAAACCTCAGCATCCTCGCAGGGCGTCAAGGAATTCACAAGCTATTAAGCATTCAGAAAAGTTTCACAGCACTGATGCTGTTGTCTGGGCACCTGTGCGGTCACAGAACAAGGCTGATGTACCTGATGAAGCAATCCCCAAAAATGAAGTTGAGGTAGTTAGTGCTGTAAAACCCGAACGTAAAGTGCAAAATAATTCAAAAAATAAGAGGGCAGAAATGGAGAGGTATGTTCCAAAACCTGTAGCTAAAGAGATGGCGAATCAAGGAAGCACACAACGGCAAGTGGCCTCTGTAAACAATCTAACTGCAATAAATGAGACCATTGAGAGATCAGATTCTGGTCCTCAAGTTGCTGACAGTTCTCAACCTATTACTCTAACTATTGGAAAAGTGGGGATTGCCATAGAGTTGAAGCGTGGGAGTAGCAGAGAGAGTAAGCCCGTAGAAGCACATGGATCATGGAAGCAACGGGGGTCAACAGAATCAACTATCATGCATGGCTCGGAAGATGGACCGTCATATACTTCAAATGTTGGTCAGAGTGATAAAAATTCAGTCCTGCATCACCAACCCCAGAAGCCTGATGTTGTCTCAGAGAGAGAGCAACCAAAGAGTTATGATTGGAATGATTCTGACGGATGGAACATGCCCGAAGAGCCTGTTGCTGTTGCACCAGTCTCTGTTTCTGCAAAAGGCCAGGGAATTACCAGAAGAGGAAAACAGCATCCATTCAAGGGACACAAAACCATGGGAAATAATCATGATCTGGTTGATAAGAAAAATAGCAGAGTGGGGGATACCTACAAAAATAACAATCAATTTTCAGCCTCTGAAACGGGTCAAACAGACTTAGCTGCCGCTTCCAAAGAGAATCGAGCTGTTGGGGAACGTGCAGCGCCTCATTGGCAACCCAAATCTCAGGCACTTTCAGGCAATAGTCAAGAAGGAAATAGGGCCAATGGTGGTCAAAACATTGTTGTGGAAGTTGGTCGGACTTTCAAAAAGGAGACCAGTCCCCGAGGTGGGGTGCCACGTCCAGCAACACCTAACAAGGATAATACTGAATATGTGGCCCAGCGTCAACATGATCAGGTGACATCCGAGAGAAACAATGCAGGGGAAGGACATAATAAGAGAGAGAGGAAAGCCTCATTCAGGGGACTCCCCCGGTCTCCGAACCAGGGTCATGTTACCCCTGTTGAAACAGCTCCTGTTAGTATGGATGCTAGACAAGAGCAGCATTTTGACACAGGGTTCCGCAAGAATGGAAACCAAAACAACCGTTTTGGGAGAGGTCAAGAGTCTCGTGGGGATTGGAATTACTCGGGGCATGATAGTAGGCAGCACAAACCCCCTGCAAACCGGGAGAGACAGAGGCACAGTTCGCATTTTGAGTACCAGCCAGTTGGGCCATACAACAACAATAACAAATTTAACTATTCCGAGGAACCACGAGATGGTTCTTACAATACAGGTGGAAGAGTCAAGGAAAGCGGTCAGAGCCATCCACGACGTGGTGGGGGTAACTTCCATGGACGGCAAAGTGGCGCAGTCCGAGTAGATGAAGATATTGAGTAGTAGCTAGAAGGATTAAAGATGCTGAAGATAAGGTTTTCATCGAGTGAAACCCACTCTTTACCACTCAAGCATCGTTAGCACTGACCGATAGCATTCTCAGGTATTCCTTTAATTGGTCAAATTTACAACTGTGTTCATACATGTTACGTAGACAACTGACGGCTTCTGTCCACCGAGCAGGGCTTACGGCAAAGTAGACGGTGGCGGTTGGAGATAGTCGAACGTGTTGTATTTCTTAATTTTTTTGTTCATGTTTCAATTGAATCGGATATGAAACATTGTGACTTGGTCACCCCTTGTTTCCTATGGAACGCTTTTACATTTTTCTGCTTGTTCTGGCCCTTTTAGAGCGACTCCTCGACGAGTATGTTGTCTTTTGCTGCTGCAATGCAATGGTCAATCGGTTCTTTTTGTCTAAAATGGGACCTCCATATTGATAAAAGTTGAAAGGTGTTTAGGGTTTAACAACGTTTACCGCTCTACAAACTTTTGAGACCGGACTCCAACATCGGTATATACATTTACTTAATACATTCATCATTTAACGGTCGTATTTGATCAAACATGATATTCTCATTTTATCAAAATGCAAAATGTGAACCTTCCTATATTCCAAAAGTACCCATTAATTAGGACTAGAAGATGAGCACACGCTTTGTGTGTGAACAATTTCATTTTATTTTTTATTTTTTTATTAAAGAGTGTGATTAGTTTTTAAAATTTTTAAAAAGTGTATGAGACAACGATGATGAGATATCTTAATAAGGGCATATTTTTTTTAATATTACATAATTACCATTTTGCTCCCTTTATGTAAATATTATATATCAAAAGTGAGGGTAAAATAGAAAAAATGGGAATATGATTGTCATTTTCTCAAAATATACAAAATTACTATTTTGTCCTCCTTATCTAAGTATTGTGTATCAAAAGTGAGAAAAATTAGAAAAAAATGGTAAAAAGTTGGGTTCTCTTAATAGAATAGATAGATTTTAAAATAAAACAACTTAATTTTTTAAAAATTCAAACTAAAATATAAATAAAAATGACAAATAAATAATAAAATATAACAAATTGTCCCAGGCTCGAGCGTATGGTAAGAGATTAGTATCCTCCGCTCAAAGAAGCTAAACGAAACGGCCCAAGTCCAAACAAAGCGACCCGGTCCAAAGTCCTATTAGATTTTCATCTGCTTCCCTCCCCCTCCGGCTTCAGTTTCACCTTACCCTCCTCCGGTGTGCTTCATTATCCTCCACATTCCGCTGTTAAAAAATAAATTGAAAAATAAATAAATTAAAAATCCATATAAAACCCCTAAATTTCACCACAAAGAGTCCAAGACCTTCTTCCCCTTTTTCTTCTGTCTATCTCTTTCTTCTATCCACTCTCTATTTTTAGCAAATTTCAATTCGGAGAGCGGGACAAAGATAAAAGCAGTACTCTTTGCTATTTTTCCCAAATTTCAACAATTTTTGTCAGGGGAGGGAGGTTCATGGTAGGTTAGTATGAATTTATTCGTCAATTCTTCCGTTCTGAATTTCAATTCTTGCAATTTAATTGTTTTTGTTTAGTTAGGGTTTGATTTCTGAGCTTGGGGTTATTGGGTTGTTTGGTTCTTTGTAAATGGAGGAAATGGGAAGGAAACGAAGTATAAAGTTGTGAACTTTTCGTTGTTTTGGTGAAAATTGAGCTTCTTTTTGCTTTCTTTGGGTGGTTTAGTAGGTTTGGGAATCATTTGTTTGTTGGGTTGCTGAGAATTTTGAGGGCAAAGAGTTTTCAAGCTGTTGCTCAATTTTGTTTCTGGATTCCTTTGAATGTTTGTGTTTCTTTTGTCCGAATCTTCGTGCAGTACGCTAGCTTGAGATGAATTGGTGTTCTTGGTTTTGATTGTTGACTGTTTGTGATAAGTTTTTGAATTGTTTTTTGTTGGTGTTGAATTGTTCCTTCTGGTTTGCTTGCTGCAAGAGTTAGTGCTTATGTGTGGTTGTTAATGAAATTAGGCCCTGCTGAGTAAATGATTTGGTCGTTGAGGTGAAGACGATGGCTTTGGTTACCCATCAAATGCAGGTAATTTGATATTAAGAGTACCCTGAGTTGCGTATTACATTGTATCCGTTTAACGTATGAGAGAGATGATCCATGTTGAGGTTATGTCCCTTCACATGTTTTATGATTACTTGTTTTCAGTTTACCCCGCCAAGTTCTTGAATTTGGGATTTTGGTTTTCTGTTACTAGCTTTCTCTTTTTATGCTCATGTTTCTTTTTTTACTGTTGCATTTCAGGGTTCTTATGTGACTTATCCCTCTAGGCCTTTGTCATGGAGCAAAGGGATGAAGTTGAAGCAGTGTGTAACAACACATCAAATGGTCGGGAGGACAGAGAAGTGCTTTATGCTAAAGCGCAACCTTTGTTTAAGGTGGCAGTTTTTCCTGTATAAGTTTGTTATCTTGTTCTTTGTTCTATTTAATTTTCTTTAGATCTCCTACTAGCTGAACCGTGTGGTTGTCACTTTGCATTGAAATTCTTCTACTTGCACTTGTGGGAGCACATATGCACAATGAGGGAATGGACGCGCACACCCACATCCAGACCAAATACACATTTTTTATCATGTCCATTTAAATTCAGAGAACTTGTTTCACAGTGTAGGGGCTTCTCTCATGCGGGGACCAAAAGTTAAACCTTTCAAAGTTTCAGCCTTCAAGGGCAGTGCTCAGAATGATAAATCTGGAGGTAGAACAAATGGATCAAAGCTTCCCAAGAATTCGGTCAAACTAAAAGAGAATGAGGATACTATCACGGGATCTCCTCAGGCAAATGATATTCCTCTTTCTTATGCCTCTGAAGCAGATGAGAGAAATGCATCTTCCCCCGTCATTCATAATTTATTTAAGAAATGGTTGAGAATGCTTCGAACACAATCACCAAGTGAAGTAGAAGATGGGCTTTTGGGGGAAGAACCGCCTCCAATGGAGACATCAGAAACTAAGCATGAGATTCAAAACAAGGAAAATGATGGGATTCTATGGACGGTCTGGTGCAATTTTCTGGGTCTAAATGCTACAGTAAAGATACCCTTACTTATATTGTAAGTATAATTTGTGCTCTATCTCTCCATCTGCTGTCTGTTTTTTCAAGTCTGCGATTATTCTATTTAAATGAACTTCTGGTTTTATGCGGTTAACATGAGACGTCTTGGATTTATTTGCTTTTATCTTATAACATCATTTTAATTGGTCACTTAATATGCAGCATCCCCATGTACCTGGCAGTTAATATGATTCATGGGGCCGAAGTTTCAAAGGAGTTGACGCCTTTGTGGGTTTTAGGACCCCTCATTGTAGCACTCTACATCAAGATGCTTCAGTGGTTGTGTGCACTCTATGTTTTCAGCTTCAAGCAGACTGTTAAAATAATCAAGAATTTACCCACTTACTACATGGTGGCCTATACATACATTGCACGTGGGAAGCTTAAAGAGGAAATACGGACTCGTTTCTGGCAACCTTTACTGAACATTAAGAACTTAGACTACAAGAAATTATCCAGAAGAAAGCTGAAAGCACTGCAAGGGTTGATAATCGAGAGATACCTTGATTTCGTGGAATCAATATGGCCTTATTACTGCAGAACAATCAGATTCCTAAAGAGGGCTAATCTCATTTAGATGCACCTGAGGAATGTCTTCTGTGGGAGCAATGGCTGAAATCCGGAGTTGCTCCTGATGATGGTTTAGAAGTTTGAGTTTCTTTCGAGGAGCCAGCCGACCCCATTTTAGATCGGGGTTCTTGATGTCTAGCTAGCCGAGGATCATGACAAGCGGATTTGTCCGGTTTCTGTAATTTTTTTCGAGGCAGCATTCTTAATTTTTGGATGAGATCCCAATTATTTTGTTTCTGTACTGTATTCAGCTGCCACGAATGTTTTTTCTTGAAATTCCAAATTGAGAAAGTATTTTCAACTTCTGTAGCAAGTCACTTGCTTTCTGGGGTTTGGATGTTATCGAACTTGTTCTTTTCTTTCAGTGCTATGGCAGCTAGTCTGAGAACCATCATGCATCTCACTTTAAATCTTCTGCATTCTTCCCCCTATCCTCTCTTCCTCTTCTTCCTTGGAAAATCGATTAGGGTTAGGGCCGGATCCAGTCCTACAACTCCGTTGTTGGAAGAGATAAAAGTATGGTCGGGATTGATACTCGGATGAGAATCAATCATATTATGTGACTGTCACACTTAAACAAAACAAAAAAAAAAAAAAAAAAAAAAAAATTCAATACCATATTAGGCTTGGAAATTTGACTTAAAGAGACTGCAAGAACATAAATAAAGGTTTCTCTTGGGATATCTTGTGTAGAAACACTTATAAGCACTTTTTTCAGAAGTGATTTTATTATGGACAAGATAAAATCTTTAATAAAAAATCATGTGTTTTCTGAATAAATATTATTAATTTTTTTGCCGAACGCAACCTGAAACATTTTAATTATAACTTTGCGTTTTTTCAGAAATAGTTTTATACATGCTTCAACGAGGGGAAGAAAAAGAAAAAGATAAACAAATAAGAAAGAAAATCTCGTGAGAAATAAAGAGAAGGAAATGAAACAAAACAAAATCCGCATAAATATAACGTGAGAGAAGGATTTTGTCCAAACTAGGCGCCCGCTTCGCCCCCACCGAATTACACACAACAAACGAAAGCCGAAGGCCGCTATCTTCCGCAATAACTCCAAAACTACTCCTCAGTTTCTCCGGATTCCTCCACTTTCTCACCCTTTCCTTCATTTTCCCGGAAAATTTTCTATATGGGTGCCCTCATATATTCCTCGAATCAAATGGGTTTGCGTTAGAATCCCGCTGCATGCAGCGGTTGAGTCTCTGACAGGCTCGGCCTCTTGTTATTGCTTCACAGATATGGCGCTTAAATGTGGTTCTTCGTTTTCTTGCCTGGCAACTTCTCCTGCTTCCCATTGCCAAACCAGAAGGGGTTCCCAGGTGCGTTATAGGGCTGTTTGGTTACTGAGAAAAAAGTCTTGATATCCCCCAAATTTTTGTTATTTTGTTTTTGTTTTGATGTTTGCATGTGAACTTGTGAGAATGTATGCTGGGTTTGTTTCTGGTAGCTAAAAGCCTAAAAGGTTTGGAATTGGTGTTTGTTTTTTGGTCAAAAGGTGGGGAATTGTTGTTTGTTTTTGGGTCAAAAGGTGTGGAATTGGTAGGTGAAATTGATTCTACAAATAGAAAATAAAAGTGGGATATTGTTTAAGCTCCTTGATGTACAAAAGAGGGTGTTATGATGTTAAAGAATCTAGCTTGGGAGAGATTTTAGTAGCATTGGTGTTGTTAGTATTTGAAATCTTACGGATTAGACATGGCTTTGTGAGAAGTTAGAGGTATTACTTTGGGGTATTATGTTTACTTCATAGCCTCTAATGTTTTGTACATGAACTAGGTGTGTGTGTGTGTATTTGGTACTTACGCTACTACTACTGAGCTTAAGCTTCTTGGGATGATACACATTAACACATTTGAATGCACCTTACATGGTGGATTTTACCGTTATTGACTAATTGGAGTCATTTTGCTATGCTGAAGTAAATTATGCTCGAATTCACTTCTAATTGGAGTCATTTCTCTTAGGATTTTTTAAATCCACTTCTAATTGTCTCGTATTAGTCTGGTCTGATAATGTCAAATGACTGCCACCTTTTAGAAGAACTTTATCGATTTTTCAGCTTATAAATTGATTCCTTTGATGTGCAGTTGAGCTTATTGCATGTACCGTACTGCAGCCAACAACATGATGCTCAACAGCTGAGATATGCTAAAGGTAGCTTTTCATATTTGTTGCATAATTACTGAAGTCTTCAAATTTTCTTATGTGCAATATAGCCAGCATAAGATTTGTTTTTTCCCCGAGCTACTGAGCACAGTATAATTGTAGAAGGGAACCTATGGATTTCATTTGATTGAAGCTACTTTTTTCTAATATGACCATTATTAACCTTTTTACCAAATGGTTTATGAACTGTAATGCCATTTCTTTAAAAAGTGCGAGATTGTTTTGTATTGCTCTAAATATGTTTGGTCTATTTCTTCTGCCACTGTAAGCAGGTAATTCATGCATATTCAGACATCGAGTAGGGCAGTCAAGCAAAAGGATCCCAAACAGTCACAGTGTTCTCTTTGCTGTTGCTGAAGATCAGTCACAATATAGTGAGATAAAAACAGATGCTATGGAGCAAGAAAATCACCTTCTTAATTCTGAAGATATATTTCCTTCAAACAGTTCATATATCCATTTTGATGGTGCTGGTGGAAAACCGGGTTTAATCTCATTTTATAACCGTCCATATAAAAGGGAAGAAGAAGTTTCTACAAATAATCCAGCAAGGAACCAAAACAGCCTCTTATGGTTCATCGGTCCAGCTGTTCTCCTAGCTTCTTTCATTTTCCCCTCGCTCTATCTGCGCAAAATACTATCTACTATATTTGAGGATTCTTTGTTGACAGGTGAGGATGCATATCTATATGTTGTGGACTCGTGATTTTATGTTTATTATAGTCCGGTATTTGTCATCACTTGTTTTTAACTAAAACTATGATTGCAGTAGATAGGATAGGCACAGAAAATTTGTCTCGCCAGCTTGAGATTTTGTCTCCTTACATATATCTGTATACACCTTTCTGTGTATCACTTTCTATACACTACAACTTGCATTATTTTTATTTCGAGTAAGACTATCTTGGGGTGTTGGAGTGACTCTACCAGGGTGATTATACTAGGATGAAAGTTACTGCAGCCCACTCAAATGGATGAGGGTTAGGGACTCTAGATAGTTGTTGGTGAAGGAATGATCCTAGGAAACTTTAAGGGCTTCTAATGAAGAGTGAAGACAGAGGAAAGGGTTAATGACTGGAAGTGATTTTGGGCAACTCGTGACATGGGTTGGAAAATTTTAACATGAATATGATAGAAATAGACGACTAGAGCGCTGCTTAGAAAGTAAACCTTTTTCTCCCGTCTAAACCATAATATGTTTCTTCTCAGATTTTCTCATCTTGTTCTTCACGGAAGCTCTCTTCTACAGTGGTGTTGCGGTATTTCTTCTTCTGATTGACCGTTCAAGGAGGACAGCTAAACCAGAATTGGGTGTCCCCAGTAACAGAACCCCAGCCCCTCAATTAGGGCAGCGAATCTCATCTGTTGCTTCCTTGGTACTCAGTCTTATAATTCCTATGGTGACTATGGGTTATGTCTGGCCATGGACTGGCCCTGCAGCTTCTGCTACTCTTGCTCCATATCTGGTTGGTATAATGGTGCAATTTGCATTTGAGCAGTATGCAAGATATAAGAAGTCACCTTCATGGCCTGTTATCCCGGTCATCTTTCAAGTAAGCCAATACTTTCCCTTTCATTATGGGTATTGCATAAAAAATTGAATTTGATTGTATGAAATATCTTGTTTCTCTTGTTGTCTAGTAGGTTGTTGGATTACTACCGGATGATAGTTCTTAAATTCAAGCCTGTCTAATTAGATATGCATCCATCAATCTCCGTCATTAAACTCTTTGTGATTTCATAATCTCAGTTCAATTCAACTTGGAAAACGATAAAATGATAAGAATGTCCTCCTGTATGTTGTGTACACATGCTGGTCTACGAAGCAAAAATTTTTATTTCCATTATGATTGGCAGGTCTATAGATTGCATCAACTGAATAGAGCAGCGCAACTGGTGACTGCTCTGTCCTTTACAGTCAGAGGCGCTGAGACGACACCGCACAACTTGGCAATAAACAGTTCCTTGGGTACACTGTTGAATGTCCTTCAATGCCTTGGAGTTATCTGCATTTGGTCTCTCTCAAGTTTCCTTATGAGGTTTTTCTCTTCCACCACTACTAATCCACCTTAAAGCCCGCGATATCATGTACGGATCATGCAACTCAGCAACAATGCCATCGAGCTTCGTTTGAGAAAATTAAATGAATCTCGGTTGGGTCCAATTTCCTTTTGTCCGTGGTTTAGTTCTGCTCCGGCGGGAGTTTGACAGCAAGCGGCCATTGAAGTTTTGACTGGTCTCAAGCAAAGTTAGAAGGTAGTTGCAGGATTTTGTAAATGAGATTCTTAAAATGCAAGAGAGAGCAAAGTTGATGAGAATTTTGTGCTGCTATTTCCATATGATTCGGTTTACGACATTTTCATTGCGCATAAGATTATTTTTGTTTCATTAAATCTAGTTGTTTACAATTTAACAGAGAACTCAGTTGCAAGCTTATCTGATTTCTTTATGAAACCCCATCAAAGTTTAGCCAACTATACACTTATCCTAACAAAGGAAGGACTTTGCTACGGTCAACCGCTCACCCACGAACGCCTAAGCGATTTATAACCGTCGATCGGGGGTGGGCCCCATATTGACCTTAACACTCCTCAACTGCTCAGGAGTCTTACTTATCACAAGTCTCAACTAAGAATATAACGGCCACAAATCCTAGAGTCTAGGATATCTCGAAACATGATGGAATTTCGTGAGTACCCTACAAGTGAATTTTTTATTCTTTAGAGAATTAAATCAGTCTCTTCCCTGATATACTTTCGGTGGTCCAGCAAGAGCCCGTACAAAATTACAAATAGAGTTGGCCACCCAACTAAACTAAGAAAAATAAATTTTATAGAAAAAAAAGCAAAGTAAAGTCAACATGCCCCGAAAGATCCAAGGGAAATATATAAACTGAAAAACAAAAGGTTTAGAAGGATATTGGTACTTGACTTCTCATTTCTCAAAGCTAAAAAGTCCATGTTCTTGAGAGTATTGTATGTCATCAAAAATTATAATCCGGGATTAATTATTAATGAGTTAATTTTTAATTAATATATTTATTAAAAAGTAAAAATAGTACACTATTTGGAGGATTTTTTTTTATTATTTTAGAAATAATTAAAATTGTTTGCTTGGTGTTGATATAATTAATAAATATTGCTTTGAAATGACTTTAATGATGTAACTTCTCTTTTGTCTGTATTGCTTAATTATTTGAGTGATATGATATATAATTTAAACTTAATTGTCTTCTGGTTTGGTGGAGTTAACATTTTTTTTCCTCTTATTTCTTGTATTAAAATAATAAGTTGATAGAATGTATAATATGCAGTCAGAAAGAAAACTACAAAAGAATATATATTAGGTGTTTAACACACCGAATAAATATATAATATATAAAGGAAAATATAATACTATATATATATATATATATATATTATGAAACCACTAAGACATTTAGTTGGAGTTAAAATTAAACGAACATTGTTGTTCAAGACAACAAATGGTTATAAAAAAAGTAACACCCAAACTTTATTTCATTAAGTGGGGTCGGTTATATGAATACTAAAATGTTACTGCGTTTGATTTTATGCCATGTTTTCCGTTAACTCCAAGTACTCTATATTTTCTCTTAAAGTCTCTTTCTAAGTCTTCCTAAATCCTTCTCAGTGATTTAGAGTGATTTAGATAAATTGAAATATAATTCAAAGTAAACCTTATTGAAGGACTCTCTAAATTCAAGTTCATATGTGAGCATATCTTTAGCAAGTAGATTTGCAGCCATGAAAATGTTGGTGACCTAGTACCAACTTGTTGCATGTGCAAATGCTTGGTTCACTTTTAACCTTTATGTAGTCTATTAGGTAATTATATCCACTCTAGAAAATAATTGCTACTTCAAATTTTCTTGTCCAAATAATTGAAAGGAATAAAGATGAAAAAAAGGTATCCTATATGGGAAAAACTAGAAGTGAAAAATAAGCATTTGGGTGTGATATGATCTTTCCCTTTCCTAATCAAGCATTTGGGGGGCAATTTTTCTGCGAGATTGTAACACCGCTACAAGCTGTGATTAATACTCATAACATAACATGTGTATATTTATAATACTATTAGGTTTGTTTGTTTTTTTTAGCAAAAATATACTTTGAGATTGACATAGCTTCATACTTTGGTCCCTAAAATTGGAAATAAATAGACCCTGAGTTTGTCCATCATCAATCATTTTGGTCATTCTATGAAAATTCTGTTAAATAAAAACCAAAATAACAAAATTATCCTCAATTTAATAAACGATGGGCCAAAACAATTTGACAAAAACTAAGAGTATTTTTATTATTTCATCCTTATTTAATGAATATATTTCACGGAAGAACCAAAACGATTGATGGTGGACAAAATCAAAGACCAATTCTATCAATTTCAAATCGCAAAGACCAAAGTGAGGAGTTATACCAATCTCAAAAACCATTTTAGCTAAAAAGTCATACTACTACTCTAAAGTTCATCACCACTTCATCTTATATCACCTAGCTAATCACACTACGTGACGGTAATCTAGTACCACAACAATTTCTCAGACTTGATTCATCCATATTGGTTTTCTCTTTCTTGATCCTGAAAACCAAGCAAAGGTGAAAAATATAAAGCTATGGCGGATAGCTAAGCACTTCTAGAGAACTTCTCTATCAAAAGATTTAGAAACCCGACTTTGAAGCAACCTTGTTTGTCCTCTTGTTTTAGGGTTCACTAGTAGCAAGAATAATCCCTTCAATAATAAATTACTTATATAATTACTGAGGCAATTATATATATTCTGATTAGATTAGACCTAATTAAATTTAATTATAGCCAACGCAGCATGTTTGAATGTATTACACCAAACCTCACATGATATTTGGATCTTCTCTATTGCGCGTTTCACCATGATTGATCAGTCCGATGGGGTTGTTTTGGTTTGTGTTTTCTTCCTGTATTTAATTTGATATTTGGTAGCTTAGGTTACAGTAGAAATATATATATATATATATATATATATATATATATATATATATATATATATATATATATATAGACGGATCCGTGTCATTATTTTATTTATACAAGTTTTTGTGAGGTTCGTTTCATAATATATTTTAAACGACCAAAAGCATAAATATACTTCAAACATAAGAAAACTTGCGAAGGGCTAGAAACTATTTTTAATATAGGCATTCAATCTCGCTTCATCGAACTTCTAACTTTGAGAATTTGGTCATTTGGTCTAGTAAGATTTAATCTTCGTTAAGTTGGAACAAATACAGCGTTCTAATTTTATGAACAATAGTTGTCAATAAGAAGGAAAGCGTTCAATTGTATATGTCAACATTTATTTCCTTTTGCTCCTCATTTAGTTGTTTTTAGATCGTGGAACGTGGAAACCCTAATGCAAATTAACAGTAGAAAGATGCATGAATCTATCAATTTTTCTAAGGCCTTTTTTCTGCATTTTATAGCTGCAACAGCATCATGGATTTATACCTATTTAGTGGACCAACAATCCTAGAAGTTAAATTGAACATGTCTATAAGAAAGTCCAATGCTACTCAATTCTTCTTGGAATAATTGTAAATTGGATATTAGAAAGAAAAAAAATTCATGACTGCGACGTGGATCATATATTCGTACTAAAGAAGAAAATTTTGGAGAATACTACCTAACCACGTTAGCTGTGGGGCATTTCTCGCAAAAGTATGAGACTCTGTATTTTAGTTCCACCTAACTCTACATTGATTACACTCAACGTAAGAATTGTCCTAATTAGACAGCCCATATTAACTTCAAACTTAAAGTGGGCCTAGAGTGAGGTCCACTTCTTGAATTTACTGTTAGGTTGCAAGTGGAATACTTTTCTCCTAAGCTCTTTTTCTTTTAGCCATGCTTACACTATCCTTATCTCTCCATGCACTTCCCTTCCCCACACCTCCATAAGATTCTAAAAACATCTTTCAGCACCCATAATGTACCTTGATGAGAAGAAAAAGGAGAGGAAAATCATCATATCTTTTAGCAGAACTAGCAAAAAGGTGAGAAAGATAGCTAAATTGAAAAAAAGAAAGAAGACCTCTGTGCTTAAAGCCTAATTACTTTTCGATATAAGCGATATTGGGGAAGGAGGGGTCAAAATCGGGACTCCAAGTGCATGAGGTGAATGCTTTTTATCAGCTCATCGCTATAGTCGGGCAGCCAAAAAAGCCTTAATTACTTTTGATGAATGTTAGTTATCAACTTACTTTTCAAACTGATTAGGTAAGCCTAGTTCTACTTCAGAAGAGTATTTAAACTCCAAGGCCTCCATTTATCCCACCATGGTTTTAAACTTCTTGTCTTACCTCTTAATCAAATTCCCTCCTCCAGTTCTCATTCCATCTCTTGTTTCCATTTGCCTTTCTTTCATCATGAAATTTCTGAGTAGAAATACTACTAAGTCTTCGAATTTGATCTCAGATAATTTGGTTTCTGCTTGATCTTGATCGTGCATTTTGTAATTGGCGGCGTTGAAATGTCTCATTTCTTGCTGTTTTTTGCAATACTTTATGCTGTTCTTGCTGTTTCTCTTGGAGACGATTCGAGGGTTTCCTCCGCACTTCTGAGAATCAAATCAGAACTTGTTGATCCAGCAGGAGTTTTGAGCAACTGGTCTCCAAGTGCTCATATACGCAGTTGGAATGGCCTTTTGTGTTCAGACGATCAGTTGCATATTATTGGTCTTAACCTATCGGGATCAGGATTAGCTGGTCCAATCCCTCGCGAGCTTTCACAACTCTCTTCGATCCAAACACTCGATTTCTCTTCAAATTCCCTCGCTGGTCCACTTCCTCCCGAGTTGGGACAGCTTCAAAGTCTCAAAATACTCCTCCTCTACTCGAACTTTCTCTCCGGCGGGATTCCTGCAGAAATAGGTCTTTTGAGGAACTTACAAGTTCTTCGGATAGGAGATAACTTGTTTTCAGGTGCAATTCCACCAAGCATTGGAAACCTGACTGAGCTGAGAGTGTTGGGACTTGCCTACTGCCAATTAAATGGAAGCATTCCAGTTGAAATTGGTGATTTGAAGAAGCTGACATCTCTTGATCTGCGGAACAATAGCCTCACTGGCCTCATACCAGAAGAGATTCATGGCCTCCAAGAGATTCAAAACTTTGCAGCATCCAACAACATGCTCGAAGGAGATATCCCTTCTTCGATAGGATCACTTAAATCGCTGCAAATCTTGAACCTGGCCAACAACAGCCTCTCTGGAACAATTCCTTCCGCGCTAAGCCAGCTTGCAAATTTAAACTACTTAAATTTGGTAGGGAACAGATTGAACGGTGATATCCCTTCAGGGCTTAACCAATTAGCACAGCTCGAGAATCTTGACTTGTCGCGAAACAACCTCTCAGGAAGCATAGGCCTCCTCAGCACACAACTAAAGAATCTCGAATCTTTGGTTCTGTCTGATAATGCCTTGACAGGTACAATTTCAAGCAATTTCTGCCTCAGCAACTCAAATCTTCAACAACTTCTTCTCGCTCGAAACAAGCTCACTGGAAAATTTCCTCTAGACCTACTCAGCTGCTCTTCACTCCAACAGCTAGACCTTTCGGATAACACTTTCGAAGGAGAGCTGCCAGCTGCCCTGGACAAGCTACAGAATCTCACAGATCTTGTACTCAATAACAACAGCTTCACTGGAACTCTACCTCCTAAAATAGGAAACATGAGCTACCTAGAAAATCTGTATCTGTTCGGAAACATGATCACAGGTAGAATCCCGGCGGAGATTGGGAAGCTGAAAAAGTTGAAAACCCTTTACCTGTATGACAACCAGCTGTCAGGATCCATACCAACAGAGTTAACCAATTGCACAGAGCTATTAGAAATTGATTTTTTCGGAAACCATTTCACGGGCTCCATCCCTGCAACGATTGGGAAGCTTAAGAGTCTCGTTCTGCTTCACCTGAGGCAGAACGGCTTGTCAGGACCTATCCCGCCTAGCTTAGGTTACTGCAGAAGTCTCCGGTTACTGGCCTTGGCAGATAATAAACTCACTGGAACCTTGCCACCCACATTTCGATTCATTTCTCAGCTAAGCACCATTACCCTTTACAACAACTCCTTTGAAGGCCCTCTTCCTGCATCCCTTTTTCTTCTCAAAAACCTCAAGATCATAAATTTTTCCCACAACCGGTTTAATGGAAGCATCTATCCACTGTCTGGTTCGAGTTATCTGACCAAAGTGGACTTGACAAACAACAGCTTTTCAGGTTCAATCCCTTCTAGACTAGCGATGGCTAGAAACTTAACCCGTCTCCGCCTTGCATACAATCACCTCGCCGGCACCATCCCTTCTGAATTCGGCCAGCTCACACAGCTCAAATTTCTTGACTTGTCATTCAACAATCTCACAGGAGAAGTGCCACCTCAATTGTCTTCTGCAAAGCTTATTGAGCATTTTCTACTGAGTAACAACCGATTCGAAGGAAAAATACCTGCATGGTTAGGGAGCTTACAAGAGTTGGGAGAACTTGACTTGTCAACAAACAAGTTCCAAGGAACACTACCGGCAGAGATCGGCAACTGTTCGAAGTTACTGAAACTTTCTCTACAAGGCAACAGCCTCTCAAGCATGATGCCGGAGGAGATGGGAAATCTCACTTCTCTCAATGTTCTCAATCTTCAAAGAAACAGTTTTTCGGGTTCAATCCCATCAACGATCCGGCAATGCGTGAAGCTATATGAACTGAGGCTCTCAGAAAACAACTTAACCGGTTCGATCCCATCCGAGCTAGGAGAACTCACTGAGCTGCAAGTAATCCTCGACCTAAGCGAAAACTTCCTCTCCGGAAAAATCCCCTCATCCCTCGGAAACCTAATGAAGTTGGAGAGATTGAATCTCTCTTCCAATCAACTCCAAGGAGAAGTTCCGTCCTCACTCGGAAAGCTGACAAGCCTGCACATGCTAAACCTATCAAATAATTTCCTCCAAGGTCAAATCCCATCAATCTTTTCAGGATTCCCACCCAGCTCCTTCTCGAGTAATCCAAAGCTCTGCGGCCCACCACTAGCGTCGTGTTCGGAATCCAAAAGGCAGAGGAAGAAGGGCCTTTCTGATGCTGCAGAGACTGGAATTATAGTGGCCATTGTTTTAACGTCGGCAGTAATATGCTTGGCGATGCTTTATGTCATGCTGAGGATGTGGTGCAACTGGAGAAGAGTTTCCGTCTCGAATATGGACGGCGGCGGAGGCGGGGCGGAGTGCAAGAGGGAAGAGGAGTTGTGGGATTTTGGGAATGAGAAGAAGAGGGGTGGTGAGTGTTGGAATGTGGTTTCTTTGGCTCTGGTTAATTCAAAAGATGAAGAAATGCAGCAACAGCAGCATGCACTCTACTCTACACCACACAGTGAAAAGAAGATGCCATGGTAAATAGTAAATACCTCAGTTCGAAGCCATGGAAATTACCCAAGAGTTCGAATCCATGGAAATTACCCAAGTCATCTTTTGCCTTCTTACATTTTTGAACTAAATTGTTGTACAATCTCACTTTACTTGAATTTTTTCAGTTTTTTTTTTTTTTTTTAACCAGAGTGGAAATGGTTGAGTTTTTTCAGCGTATAGATTTCTACAGTAAGGAGGCATTTTGAATTGGATTCTCTTATTGATATATGAAGCGGGTGATTCACACCAACCAATGTTGAGTTGCTTCATATTTCTTTGTTCTAAAGAAGAGTAGAAATTCTCTGCGCTATACGTTCGTCATTGGGTTTTGTACTGATAACGATAACATCGATATCTGTATCTATAGTATTCATAGTTGATAAAACTATCAATATTTGTATATGTAATATTGATACAAGTATTAATAGGATGCTGATACATTTTAACTTTGACATATTATCCACCAATGTACTGATAACGATAACATCGATTTCTGTATCTATAGTATTGATAGTTGATAAAACTATCGATATTTGTATATGTAATAAAAATACAAGTATTATTAGGACGTTGAAACGTTTTGATATTGACATATTATTCACCAATGTTATTTGCCGACACCATAGCGACAATATTCTTTCACAAAACAAAGACTTGTGCTGCCGAGTCTTCAAATGTTAGGCCGACTCTAAGCAGGCGTTTGGACTTCGGACCTGCATAATTAGAGGGCTGCACCTCCTTGTACGACTCAAACTCTACCACTCTTTCGAGGCCCTAAATCAAAGATACCAAACTTGCAAAAGCACAAGTGGTTTTATGACAGAATCCACCCAATATGCATCTCAAAATCTTGTCCCTCTCAAGTCCCCACCATCCCTATCAGATATACTACTGTATCAGAGATGATATACATCTCCAACTCTTGTCCCCTCCCAAGTCCTAACCATCCCTATCAAATATACCGCCGTATTCAAGTAGCGTATCGACTTACGCTGGTATTTGCCAATCTCAGTTGTGTGCTCAGCATCTTCAGTTTGAAACGAAACAAGAAGTCAAATTCGCAACGGAAACTTGGCAGAAAAACGAAGACTTCTTAAGCACAATGATTCAAGTAGCTACATTATTTTCATCAAACTATTATTACATTGTTCACGTAGGTCTGTTTCTTCAACCCAGATGTAGGAATATGGGTATGTTTAGTTTCACCTCTTCATTCGCGGGACAAAGTCGTTACTTGGAGGCAAGGGCACCGGCTTCAGTGAGAAGGGGCACAAGCTGACCTGCATTGTGCTTCTCCATAACAGCTGTATGATCCAAAAAAGTAAATGACTATTTGAAAGACAACTAAATTGGGATGAATTGAGGGGTCTATTTTTGATATCATATTGCAGTAAACATGGAATAAGCAAGAATATATGCACTTACAGTCACAACCACCGACATGTTTTCCCCCGATAAACACGTTAGGTACAGTCGTTTGCCCAGTCCACTGCGCTAGAGCTGCTTGCATTTCACCTCCATCAACTTCAAAAATCAAACATATAACTTCCTTAGTAATTTGGTATTCCGAGTTTAGGGGTAGCTTAGCATTAGAAACTTCTTATAACACCAATCAGAAGAGGATTCTCAGTTTACTTGTCATGACACTGAATTAGCATTTGCCCGTTTCGGGTTTCAATTTCTTAGGATTGGACTAGGCACTATAACAATAACTAGTTGAAGAGAGTTGAGGTTCCACAATGTAGCCCAACTACTTATAAGCACATGCAAAGTCCCTCCTTTTCCGATGTGGGATTGATACTCTCAACACTAGTGTTGTAAAAAACAGCTCAGTTGGAGAAAGAAACCCGTCAACTATCGACTTATCATGTTCTAATTGATTCTTAGTTGCAAAATTCCTTTGATGCGCTTGTCCCATTGCAAAGTACGAAGGGTGCTTTTAGTATTGGGTTTGAAGCTTTTTCAGTAAATTGTAATCTTATAAAGGGCTTCTATGTGAAACACCCTTTCACCGCTTTAGGATGTTGCTGGAATGTTGTGCAAAGTCATCAAAATTTGTTCTAAATGTTGATGACTTGTTTGGACTTTTGATTCCTTTGTCATATCCTTAATCCTTGCACCTTTAAGAATAAAGACTTCAACAACAACAATAACAACAAAGCCTTTTCCCACTGAGTGGGTCAGCTAAATGAATCCTAGAACGCCATTGCGCTCGATTATGTGTCCCATCTTCCGTTAGATCCAAGTAATCTACGTCTTTTCTTAGATTCTTTTCCAAAGTCCTTCTAGGTCTTCTTCTACCCCTTCGGCCCTAAACCCTTGTCCCGTAATCGCATATTCTAACCGGAGCATCAGTAGACCTTCATTTCACAGGAATAAAGACTTCAAATTTATATTTTTTATGAGCTACTAACTCAGTTAGGATTATAATTTGAATAAATTAAAGATTCCCAGACTATTAAGTTGTTAATTGTGCATTGAACCCTGTTAAAATCTTGTTAAATCCATATGCTTTACTTTATTTTCTTAAAGTTGGTGGTCCAGTAATGAAATTGGAAAATCAATTATACCAAATCACAAACAAAAACTATTAAAAAGGATAAAGGGAGACTTACTTCCCTCATCCAATTCAATGACCTTGAAAGTTGCTCCAAGCTGAGTGAGCAGCTGCTTCACCCTCTTGCAATAACCACAGTAAGTTTTACTGCCAGCAACAACAAAGAACACAACACATCAAATTATTAAGCAAAGCTAATGATTTTTTTTAACAACAAATTGGATTAATCACCTAATTAATTGGCAAAAAAAACACGTTTAATTCCACAAGTTATTTGTAAGAAAAAGAAAGAAATACATGAAATTGGTGAATTGGGTGATGAGAAATTAAAAGAAAAACAAACCTGAAAACCACAACTGGGTTGGAGTTGACGATGGTTTTGACCTTGGTGAGCGCCGTTTCGAGCTGTTCCTCGCTGATACTCTTGGTGAACAATGAACCCATTTGCCCCCTTTATATATGCGATGAGAGAGAGAGACAGCGAGAGCGATGTGTTTGCTTGGTGTCGAGAAATTACAAGAACAGAGAGGGAGGGAAGAGCACAGGTGTTGGAATCAGATTCTGCATGCACTTGTGATTTTATCAGCTTCGCCGATCAACGAGACAGAGAGAAGAACTCGATTCGGTAATTGCAACTTGGATGTTGACTTTGTCTCAGTCGTTTTCTTTTTCCTGTAGCGAAACTGTAATCGGTGATGCCTTTAACTCTGTCGTTTTCGCTAAGGCGATAGCCACTAGTTATAATATATTTATATTATCCTAATTTGAAAAGAGTTTAAACGGAACGTAATGGATTGGAGCATCTGAAAGGCAATGAAATTATTCTTCGGCCTAATTGAATAAATGGTTCCCGTGGTCATAAGGTATTCAGAAAATAGCCATTATGGTAAAAAAATTCGGATTTAAACCCCTGTGATCTAACTCTGTTAGGATTTATACCCAAAATTAAAACTTTCGCCCTTCCTCTATTAGTAGCATGCACGTGAGTGAGGGTAAGATGATCATTTCATAGTTTGTAACATGCCAAAAGCTTAGCTAAAACCCTCATAACATTCCCAATTCTAAAGCACGAAAAAAATTCCAAATCTTGGACTTCAAGTTCTGGGATTTCAACCAATCCCACTTCCATTTCGACAAAACCCATTGTCGCATTCTCAGAGTTTGGTTCTCTATCAGCGTTGGATTTGGTCTAACCTCTCCGTCTCCCTTCTCCTTATATGGAAGCTCAGTAGAGTTCTTAATCTCTTCCATGGAGACTTCTTCGTCGACTTGGCAGCAGGATTTTTTGTTCTTTCTTAGTCCTTACCTTTTATACATTTGGTGCTTTTTGGGTTTTTGGTTTTTGATTATTTTGATTGTAAGCAGTTTGAGCATTATCCTACCAAATGTGCAGAAGCATTAGAAATACCGCAGATTTTAATCAGTCAAGTTTTGGGAAAAAACAAATCCTCCGCATAGAACTACAACAAAGTTCACAAAGTGTTCATTGCAAAAACAGTAGAAATGAGATTGAAAGAGTTAATTTGTTTGCAAAATTGAATGTTGATTTGTATTCGGGGATTGTGCCATGAGCAAGATGAGAAAGATGAGAGAGGGAACCAAGGAGACAGAGGAGAAAGAGAGAGAGAAGAGGAAAAGATTGAGAGAAGCGGCAACCATCGATGGTACTAGAGTTCACGTTGTTGATCGGCAAAAGATATAAGGGTGTAGTTTATCAGCAATGCTAGGATGGTTTTTTGTTAGTGGACATGAAAATACAATTCTATCCAACATTTAACAGATCTTTAACAGAAACTTTACTTCTGGGCTAAATTTGCTAACAGTGTTGACCACATGGGTTTAATTCCTAATTTTTTTACCACAGGGGTCATCACGCAAGCATCCTATGACCACGAGGATGATTAATCCAATTTGGCCTTATTCTTATTATTCACTTTAAGTAGTAATGGTATTTGTGCAGGTTCATGCGTTTAAGAGGAGAAAAGGCAAGGCAAAGATGATTACTATTCACATACACATGTTTTATATTTTGTTGGTAACAAGATGATTTGGAAGGTTGAAATTTATATAAGAGAATGTAGCAAAAATAATATTGAGTTGTGAGGTGGAAAATGAAGAATATGGTAAGGTATTTATAGAAAAAAAAATGGTTATTTTTTGTTTTTTATGTTTTATCGTTAGAATAATCTTGGCGGTTGATGTTCAAATTATTACGGTTGGATGGCAGGATCTTGCCATGTGGCAGTTGCAGAAGAAAGGACATTTTTTTTTTTAACCTTTTGAAATCCAACGGCTTGGATTGTAAGGCAAAGAGTCATTTGGCTCTGTGCGGCACCATGCGGGGGTTGGGGTGGGGTTTCCAGATGTCAGTAAACCTAATTAGGGCTGGGTTCAGTTAGCAAATGATGCTAAATTCCTTATGCCATTAGCTAGCCATATATACACAATTACCGAAAATCATCTATCAACAGCTAATCGTTCTCTTGCAATTGCCGAAAATCGATTTAGCCAAAACTGTGACAGCCCGTTCCGAATCATTTCGCACCTACAGTATGAATAATTTGGAACAGTCTCTCTCTCTCTCTCTCTCTCTCTCTCTCTCTCTCTCTCTCCTTCTCTCTTGTACGGACGAGACTCAAAACCCTTGCAAACGTGACGGATCGAAGTGGAAAATGGTACCTTTATGTTCGTGAGGACCATACGAGTTCAACCATACCATATGCAGGTAAGGAATCCTTCGATTTCACGTCGAACGATGAGCCTCCAATTTTGTCACTGTTCATGCACACGTGGAATATTGATTGTGGCGCTACACATTCTGTTATTTCTCATACATTTGCTCAAGTGACGCAACCTCACCCTACACCTCTAGGGTATGATTTAGAGTTTGCTATGCCTAGAAGGGAGAGATGTTATGTCGATTGTGTGTATCCAGGATGTCCAGTGATGGTGGAGGATGTAGTTATGCCAGCTAATCTTATCTCGTTAGATATTGTTGATTTTGATGTGATTTTGGGCACATATTGGTTGCACCATAACCGTGCCAACATTGATTGCTACGGGAAAACAGTTACCTTCCATCGTCCTGGATTACCTATGGTTACTTTTATGGGTGTAGGTGTGTGGTCCAGGTGTAACCAACCAAAACAACAAAACAACCACCCAAAATGACAAATACCCACCAAGGGCAAAATCGTCATTTCACACCTATGGTACGAATAATTTGGAACGGGCTGTCACAAAATCCGTTGGCTGGTTTGGTTGGTAAATGGCACCACTGGCAATAACAACTAATATAATACAAATTATATAATAGTTCACAAACTTTGTAAGCATATATAGAATGTCATAGTTTCATAAGGCAAACAGAAACTAATATCGTACATACTTGCAATTTTAGTAAGGCAACAAGCACAAGGTAATAAGCAGAAACTAATATCATATATACACAAACTATTATAATTTAATTATTAATCAAATCACATTAATTCGAACCTTGTAAGCATCATTCATATGATATTACATCATAAGACAGCAAAAAGCAACTAAACTAACTTAAACATATAGAATGGAAATCATGGAGAAGTGCGATGGCTGTTGATTCGTCAATGAGAAGAGGAAAACTGCCAGGGAAGCTACGTTACGGAGAGATTTTTCAGAATAACCGGTATACGGGATGGTACACCACGTGTCATTATAAAAATGATGGGATATGTGTGTTAAAAAGTTAATAACTTAAAAAATAAAATTTCCCACCACTTATGTAAAAACACGTGGTTTACTACATGTGTTCCCGTCACAATTAAAAATTTCTCTGCGCTACGGGAGATCATCGGGAAGTGATGAGTAGAAAGAAATTAAGAGTTACGTGTGGGTTTCAATTTTCTAAACCCTAAAAGTAGTTCCACCGCTGTTCTTTGGCTGGCACCTAGGCTAAAACGTGGACCGGCTTCCCTTCAATTTGCTCCACCTGAGCCCTTTAGGCTAGCACCCAACCCAAGCCAGGCCACAAGCTGACCCAGAATCGACAGAGGAAGGAGACGGCCCATCTGACGCCATGTTGACGCTAGCGTGAAGTCGGAAGGCGTTTGACAGTTCGTGTCTTCCTCTTTGCGTCCTCATCCAGTCGTCCTCCTCGCGGCCTCGTCCTTGTGCTGCTTGACCTACTTTGTCAAACCACCCACTAACGACGATGGTGATAATCGTTGATGAGTATACGAGTTCCTGGTTCCGTGCTTCCTCCTTCCGTCCTTATCCGATCATCCTCCTTGCCTTCGAAGCTCTCTGCTTTCCTTCCACCACCACCCCAACTCGAGCTTCCATATCCAAAACCCTCCATCTCTATCTTTATCTCTTTCCGCCTCTAGAAAGCTTTAATCTTTCCCATTTTTTAATTCAGGTCGGGCTAAACTTGGCTTATCTCATATGGGTTTTGGCGGTTTGAAGAGAATCTTATAGAATCCGTGGGATTGGTGAAATTGTGCTTGACCGCACAATTGGAAAATCAGGGAAGAAAGTGGGAAAAGTGGGAAAAAGAAGAAGAAGAAGAAGAAGAAGAAGAAGGGAATAAGAAGTCAGAAATTAAAAATTAAATTATTATTTTATAATAAAAATTAATAATATTTTAATAAAATTGACTAGGCTATTTAGTTTTAGGGGTGGAGATGCATTTGGCGTATTATTGTTCATTGGGGTTTATCACTGTTCACTGAGTGGATTAAATGGGCTGGGTGCTAGCGCATTTTTTTAGAGGTGGAATTGCTCTAAAGGTTAAGACTATTAAATGACTTTTGCATGCAAAACAATACCTAGGATAGCTTTAAGGTATTTAAAAAAAAAAAAATATATATATATATATATATCGGTCGGTATGGTATACGGCCGGTATAACAAAAAACAAACCAAAGTTGTACCGTTAATGATCGGTTCGGTTCCATGCCAACCGATTTTGAAGATATACCAAAATTGACACGCCCCAATCCTGATATATGGAGGACAAAGGGATGGCCACGTGTTGGCCAACACCCAAGGATGATGCAAGCCATTTAATGAATGCATATGCCGAGAACATGAGAAAATATGCATATAAATTTCGCCCGAACTACATAATATAATATTCAAATGCAAGCTTTACCAAAATAATATAATAGTATTCAATAAAATGATAGTGATAATGCATGACATGTTCAGAGCATATATCTAATTCAGAATACAAGGGAAATGTGCTATTACAATTGAAGTCAAAGCAGAGAGGATGACACGGTATCACTGGTAGGGGAATGTCTCGTAGCTCGGATCATATGCCTCGTTTCTATATCTTGAGGGGGCGCGAAACAAACATGAATGGACCAAGTTGATATATATATATATATATAATACTGAAATAGTTATTCAACAACGTACTAACCCCCAAAGTTTTATGGAAACTCAATAGTATAATAATTGACCGAAAACCTTAGCATGCCATAAAACCTTCGTAAAACATATATCATATATAGTGTGTTAAATAGTGGTATCATAATTGACCGAAGCCACTACATCACCCGACCCGTAAGCCAAATATATGAATATCTTCCGACCTGTAGGCCAAAATAAATATCTTCCAACCCGTAGGCCACTACATCACTCGACCGAAGCCAATAGAAGTATAATCGTTTGTAGGTAGAATGGTAGCCACTAGATAAGCACAAAAACATTAAATATAATCTTTCCA